TTCTTTGTCGGCTCGAGCTTCGTGTAAGGCTGATTTTAGTTCACTTTCGTCTGGAAGATCGTGTAATTGCGCAACAATCCTTCCAACAAGAGGAGCCGTCACTTTGAGCGATGCTGCGTATTCACGTGTCGCGTTAGTGCATGGGTTGGTGATACCGAGACCACCATGACGCGGTRGCAGAGCTAGGACGCTGCGATCGTTTTCATCGCACGCATGGTCTGTGATCGATGGAATAAGTACTTTGGCAATGGCTTCCTCTAGTGGCTTTARKAGGTCTTGAATGTCTGGTAATGTTCGAAGAAAGTATGTCCAGCGATGTTTTAATCCAAAGGAATAAGCAGCAAAGCAAGCTTGGGGCTGTGATAGTGCAAATTYAGCTAACTTGGTAACTTCGTTAACCCAGCACTCTACTTTTTCTGAGATATATTCATTCAGAAAGGATCTTGAACCCAAAGCTGCTCCTAGGTGTCGATGTCCCTCTGTTGTAATATTGATGACRGTGTCCTTAAATGTTTCTCTAACCAGGTCCAGGTYGCAGGTTTTACAATGATCYAGCACAGCGTTTGGAAAATAGCCGAAGCCTGGKCCATATTCGTTGARTGTGTCCCACCATCTTTTGATATCATGTGTAGTTCCAATTCCACTTGCGTCGTCTGCAAMCCAGCATTGTTTGGCTTCGGATATAGATTGCAGAGTAGTGATGAGGTGTTGCATGCTTAATGCGTATATTCCCATAGCGATCGGGTCACCTTGCGTTGTACCTTCGGCTGACACAAGTTCTTTACCGCCAGTGATGAAYAATCTTGCTGGCTGCCTGTATGTATTAATAGCATAAATTGCAATGATAGGACACAAAATTCTGATGTTATGAAGGGCGGAGGCTCTATTTAATGAATTAAATTAAATTCAATTAAATTTAAAACTTGATTACTAATTAACTTAATAATATTATATATTTTTAATTTTATATATATAATATCAATGATTAAAATACTGTCTGATGAGTGCGTAGCACGAAACTCGGAGTTACAGCAAAATCTTGCCTCTTTGATATTATATATATAACTAGCTCTACACTTCATGTGTATTGAGCACTCTTTTATGGGATCAGCTACTTCCTCATACAATTATTTTTAATTTTATTTATTATTATTAAAAAAATACCAAATATCATTTTTCTTTGATAGACGGTAAGTTTTGCTTAAAACTTGTTGTTATTAATAGGATCTCCATTCGGTCTAAGTTCTTAACCATAGCATTTCAAATTTATGAGTTAATTTAAGCTTACCTTTAACAGTCAAACCAAAACCTGAAAGYTTTCTCTCCACTGYTCGCTTTCCTATTCCTAAGATACGACTTATTTCTGGAACWGTAAACGCCTGATCCAATAGAAAAGACAGTTGTTCCTTTGATATATTATACTTAGGTCTCCCACGACCTCGAACGAAAGAAACTTCATCTGTGACTTCGTCTGTATTTTGCACCGGGTTTTGCATTGYTAGAGAACTAAGTCGATCATACAATTCACTAACTGTGTTCACAATATCATCGTGTATATGGAGTGAAACAAGCATCCTATTAAGGTGGTCGACTCTTAGTCTTAATAAGTCAACATCTGTTACATTCTGGAGTTCGTTGATAAAATCTATCACATTTCTTAGCGACAACTCTGCAGACAGCCCCGACATATTGAAAACGAAAAATTTGGGACTACCCTTACGTAATGGAAATAAACTCGGGCTTCCTGTGGATTATGTTGTGTAACACTGAAACATGATACTTTTTGGCGGCCACGGTACGTAGATTGTGTTTAACTTTCAACATTACAGATTACTGCTCCTCCTGCGAGTTTGTAACTCGTTGTKTATGTTGTTGTGGACACTAAACTGGACATAAATTGCAAAGTCTACATTGAGGGCGATCCCGCGACAAGGCAATGTGATCTTGGCTTAGTCGAATGTTGATCATTTGTTGTTGAAAGTTGTGAATTGTACAATCAGAGTTGAAAKATGCTTAGTCAAATGTTGATCTTCTAAGTTGAATGTTGGATATCGTGACGTTGAATGTTGGATATCGCGAATTTGAATGTTTGATATCGAAAAGTTGAATGTTGGACCTTAAAGTTGAATGTTGGATCGTAAAGTCAAATGTTGGATCGTAAAGTTGAATGTTGGATCGTGAAGTTGGATGTTGTAATTTATACTTGGAATTTTGGCGGGGATTGAGCGCCATATATTTTCACAATGCTTGCATAAATTGTCCTTACACTCCATTRTATYCCAATGACAAGGGTGTTAATCATTTAAGCAAATGAAGTATTCTTTTGCTTCAGTGTAACCCAAATTAGCAAGTTATTTTCTTGCATCAGTCCAGTTCTTTGGCCATTCCTTCAGAACATTCTCATCAAAAGGATCTAACTGAGCCCCCATGCAATACATATTCCTTGACAATGATAGTAAATCTTCAAAGCTGTTCAGAGAACCATTCATTTCATYAAGACAACGGAGAGATTATTGCATTCACTATAGCACAGTTTGTTGACTCATCATTTTGAGGTTCATCTTGATGATTATTTAGCCAATCATTATTGGCATTTTCATTTTCAGGAGGTAGTTTGGGTGGTTGTTCAATGTCCATTGAATCATAATTGAAAGGTTCAAAGTTCKCCTCAACCTCATCTGTTTGAGATAAGCTGCACAACTCTTGGTTGTTTAACTCTTGCTGTGATACCTTTTCACCTTCCAAAAGGCAACAAAAAAGTAAACAGTCAATCTATTCAGGATATAAGCTTATGTATCAGAGAATCTTACATGAGATCAAACTTAAACTTTAAGTTACTTTTAAAAACTTTTTAGCACACAGTAAGCTTGTATAAGTGTCAGCTTTCAAACTATGAAGACATTGTTAGTGTCCATTTACTATGTGACATATTTTGACCTCTATTTACTGTCTTTAATAAATCACATTTAAGTACTTCAAAACTTGCCTTGTGTACTTTGATGCAATTTGTACGAGTTCTGTTTTGTTCTGTTCCACTGTAAATAATATTAAGCATATTATTTTACAGTGTGTGTGAAAGGGGATGTTTGAGAGAATAGAATTTGTTCAAATACGGTCAGACCATAAAGCAGTGCATCAAAATGCACAAGSCAGGCCATCAAAGTGTTTCATTACGATTCAAGGTTGTAAATAAAGATTGAATTATATCACACATATCAAACACCGCTAAAACCATGCTTGGGCTACCTGTGCTAGGAAGCTGTGTAGTAAAAACATTGAAAAAAGTGCTCAAAATCCGATTCTTCTAATTAATTTAACTCCAAGAAATCCATAATCTTCAGATAAATATGCTAAAATATTGCATTTTTTATAATACTTCTTACTTTAAAATTTCTTYAGTACGGTTTGAAAGTATTTGCTGCATATCATTTTCCATTCGAAGGTGATTTAGTTGTGTTCTTCGATCTTTCTACRTGGGCAATGGACATGTTTTCCCTTTTTTTCTGAACAAGCGCAAAGCGAGAACGGGAAAAGGCTTACCATTCTTGCCCGATCAAGTCGTTCAAAGTGAGCCAGCAAAACACTATCAGYGGTCACTCTAGATCTGTGGTGTGACTTAGCGTAGTGGCGCCAAAAGTTGACCAATGAGCAAAAAGGCGGTAAAATAAGCCAATCAGAAGACCCTACGAATTKAGGTAAAGCTGGCATTCGCGGTCGTTAAACACTGGGCTTGCAGCCAAAACTGAAGGTCGTTTGTGTGAACTCTGTGAACTTGAAGATGAGTCAGTCTGATATTTCTACATTGAGCCCGATGTCATCAGAAGATGAAGAAGACACCAATATTATTTATTGCAGTYAGTCGAATGATTTAAACAGATCTAAAATTGTTCAAAAGCGAAGCCTGACTGTTATTTACGATCCGCCATCAACCCCAACAACTGCCTGTGAAAGGTCTCTTCTCGATCTCAAGATGCAATCTACGAAGATTAGTAAAAAAAGACTTCACTCAGGTATTGACCAAAGTTTAATGTTGTCAGCTTAAAAAGATCTAAATAAGCATAACGTCTCCTATTTTATTTCGATTGAAAATCTTGCTTTCCCTGAATTTACAGATTGCAATGGCGATGGTGAAAATGGCGCCAAAATTGCATCGAAGTCTTCACAMTCAGGTATTGCATTTTTTAATTTAATTYTACAACCATTTATTGTAAAAAAATATATATWTTTTCCGAATGTGCAAGGTTTTCATGTTTCATTTCGATTATAGATCTTRATATTTGCGCTAAATCACAAAAAACATCTAATGGTCAAAATGGCGCCATTCGTGAATCAAGCTCTTCGTTGTCGTCAGACCCTTAAGGTATCGTATATAATATATACAACAAATGATTGATTGTAAGCAAGTATTTTTATCATTTTTTATTCATTTTTATTGAAGATCATCCTTTCCCTAAATCATCGAAGCCCAATGGTAAATAAATATTATTGTGAGACTTCGAATTCYACAAATAATACATTAACGTGTTATTCTGAAATGCTGGTTAATTTTGATTATCTAGATCCATCACAAACTGGAACTGCCCCACCATCTGATCCTGAAGGTACCTATTATAGGCCATATGTGCAAAATTACATTGAGTGATTAATTACTATGGACAATGAACAACAAGGCATAAAACACTATATTAAAGTCATCATTATTAAATATCAAGACAACATGCTGTGTGGTTTCAGATTGGAGCGTTCATGAGGTTGAGGGTTATATTTCAAAGATGTTTGACCCCATCATTGCCAAGAATTTTTTAAATGAGGAAGTTGATGGAAAAACCCTTTTGTTTGATAAAATGCTAAATGAARCAACACTTGTTATGCTCGGGTTTAACACATTGGGCAAGCGCAASAAGTTTGAGTCTGCTATAAAGCAATTGAAAGGTAAGTATATTGCATGATTGATGTACAAAGCAGGATAGGAACAATTTGTATACTGGGATAACAGATTTAAAATAGGTGTGGTTGCGGTTATTGTAACCCTTCACGACTGGGTTTCCCAGCTTGAAAGAAAAATCACTAGTGCATCATTTTACATAAAAGAGACCCAGTTTTAACTTGCAAGGGGTTATAGTAACCTTAAAGAGATAAGTGTGGTTAAGATTTAATTATTTATTATGATTGAGGACTGGGGAAWGTCTTACAATGAATACTTTGATCCAGGTATGTTTAGCTTGCAGGGCCTGGTTGTACATAGAGTTAATAGTGCTATCCAMCAGATAAAGTTAAAGTTATTCACTGCATAGGTGTTATTAAGATTTTATCCATTTGATAAGGATTTATCTGCTGGACAGCACTATATTTGCCCTATGTGCCACTGGCCCCAGCACATTAAAATGATCTCAAATCATATTATTTAATCGTACTGTAGATTGCATATATTAATGCACCCTAAAGAGAGCTTCTCAATTCGGTATTTTCATAAACAGAAAAAGAAAACTCATAAGATGTGCAAAATGTTGTTTACAATCAGTTAAATTCTCTGTCCTAATAAATTTCTATGTTTATTTCTAGAATTGACTCAAGAAAGCTGCAATATTATTGCCCTGGTGTGCCTTGAAAAAGAAAGTGTGAAAGATATACAGATGAAGAAGCACCTGCTGCCATTGAGAAAGTTGTTTCACTTGTCACTACTGCGAGGTCGGCACAAAAATACATTGATTCGAACAATAGCCAGTAGTCTATTAAAGAACACTTATGTTTTGTAGCAGAAGGGGTTGATAAAAATAATCTTCACAGGGAAGAAATACAGTTGGTAAAACAGCTACCAGAAGWTCTCAAATTGTAGATTTCAAAGCTAATAATCTGCCAATTGAGATTTGCATTCATTTGTTAGTTAAACAACTAAATCTGTTTATCTCTTGGACAATGTCACCTGAGCATTTGTTTTACAAGTTATAATGTCAAAGATTAATATTGATACAGTACCTGGTACGTACGAATTTTTTTGTTGAGTTCCATTTGTTGTGTTATTGCAAGTTATTATTAACTGCAGAACATCAATACAATATAAATTCCTTTTAAAATTCCATTCGTTGTGTTATTTTATAGTTCYAGCCAATATCCTTGTTCATGTAAATTTCAAGTATAATTAACAAAGTGTTATAAATAAATATGCAAACAGTTTAAACTATTTTTGTGTATAATTTTAAATCTTTTAAGATTTAAAATTATACACAAAAATATAAATATATATAGGAAAACAACTTTGGTAGTGAAAGTATACCAAATTTGGAATTTCAATGTTTTAAATGGAAATCTAAAAAAACATACAAGGAGTTCCAGAGGTTGGATATTTGAACTTCTAAGCCAGGTATACTTGTTTTCCAGATTTGATTTCTTTTTAAATCCATGCAAAATCCATGCTTGGATATATAAGAAAACAACCTTGTAATGGAAGTAATCCAAGGTTGGAATTTCAATTTCCTGTATTGGTTTTATTCAGGAATTTTTCAAAGGTGGAAAATCCCAAAAACATACAAGGAGTTCCAGAGGTTGGATATTTGAACTTCCAAGRCAGGTTAACTGGTTTTCCAGATTGCATTTCTTTAAAAATCCATGCAAAATCCATGCTTAGATATATAAGAAAACAACCTTGTAATGGGAGTGATCCAAACTTGGAAAAAGGGCACTTTTTCCAGAATTGGAAATTTTATAAAAACCGTATGAAAACCGTATGAAAACCATGCTTAAACATACATGGAAATTTGTAATTTTTTTCCTGTGCAAAGCTTCCTCAGGTTCAAGCTTTAAACCCCTCTTCTTAGGTTCTGTGATAACATGACGTGATGGATTTAACTGTGTTACAAGCGATTCAAAACAAGACTGTCGTTTTGCACATTATTTAAATTTACTTGCAGTGATCCTTTTCTTCCTCATAGAATGCCATAGACTACTAGAACTCTGCTGCATTGTTTTTTGTTCTATTTCAACGGCAAGATGTCTTGTAATAGACAAGGACTCCAATAAGGCTTGTTTTTCATTGTCAAGACAAGTACAACAATTATTTTCAAACCTTTCTGTTGCACCATTTAAAGAAAATTCAGGATATTGTACCAAAATGTCATTTAAAATATATTCACTTGACATTTTTTGCTGATATGAGAGAGCACTTCCCTTTGGTGCACTTCCAAACTTGGTTTGAGTAAAAGTAACATTCTGAAGTTCTATTGCAGTTGGAAGTAATGATTTGATCATTGGTTCAGGATCCAAACATTTTTCAAGAAAGTGAGCATCAGTTAGTATTTCATAACATTTAGAAGGGGAATAAAGTGTTGATTTAATAMAYTTGTYGTAGTTTRCTGATATTYGTGGTTTCTTCACAAGGACATCTTGGATTGGCARACTCTCAATTTTATTGGTTCTAGGAACACTCCACCTCTGTGGAATGCTAGTGCATGTCAGATCATCAGGGAGTGACTTGAACMYTAGCTGTTTACAATGAGACAAGTAGAACAGCATTCCAATAACATGGTGACAGAAACCACCAGCTCCTGCAACACAAGAACCATTTTCCAGATATAGATTTGGAAGTGATGTCTACTTTCACTTGTAGTACATGGGCTGACTCATTTTTCTTCATTGATCTGTGACATTTCCCAGACACTATAGCTTC